CTTTAAATTTTCACTGTAGGCTTTCCATCAGGAAATATTCCTTTCAACTTCAAGTGTGTGACCTACTTCAAGAAATATTAGTTACTTATATTGCACAACAAGGGGATTTAAATCAGGTTTTCACTGAGTCTCAATCTGCATTAAAACTCTCTTTGTTTTTGTTTGCTTTTAATGTTCCTTGTAACCATGAAGAACCAACACAGACTTTTTCTGTGCTGTTTTTGTAGAGTGATGACAGAGAGACAGATACAGCATCAGAGAGCAGTTATTCCCTTGGCAGAATCAAGAAGAGTCCCAGCTCTCTAACCAATCTTAGTGGCTCCTCTGGCATGGCCTCCTTATCCTCTGTATGTAAACCAGAGCCTTGTTTTAATGGCACTTTCCTTTTGCTAATCTCTTCAGTAGTGTTTCAGCTCCCTTCTTATTCCTCTTACCTTTCCTGGTATCTCTGTCTCCCTCCTTCCCTCTCTGTTGTGTGAACCCTTGCATGGAATTGCCTAAAAGAAATAAAATAGAATTGGTTTTACTTTTGTTTTCTGGTAATATATTGGAGCTTGTTCAGGCCTCCCCTCTATAAACACTGAACAAAGAGGAGGCTTTTACCCCAAGAGCTTACGTTTGTAGCTGAAAATGAGGGATGAGTTCTATAGAACAAACATGCAGAAAAGAATCATAGAATCATAGAACAGTTTGGGTTGGAAAGGACCTTAAGATCATCTAGTTCCAACCCCCCTGCCATGAGCAGGGACACCACACACTAAACTGTCGCCCAAGGCTCTGTCCAATCTGGCCTTGAACACTGCCAGGGTTGGAGAAAAAAGGAGGAAGGGGGGAGAAGTAGCCGAAAGCAAGAGGCAGTATTGGTACGTGGGGTGTTTAAGTCCATGAAATAGCTAACCAAGTCATTAGTTTCTATGGACTTTATGGGGAAAAGTAAGATTTTGGGGAAGGATACTGAGATTAAAAATGATTGTACATCCTTCTCTTGCTGTGTATGTAGTGTTTAATTTTCAGTGCTTTACTTAGGTACATAATTCAGCCATATAGACCTTAGCACTAATCTTTCTGTTGATGTTTTCTAAAGGCCTGTTGCCCTAAACTCTTAAGCTCTGCTTTCTACAGAAGGAAGATCAGCTGAAGAGATCTAGAAGTAGTATTTCAAGAATTTGATCACATTCAATCTCCAGATCTGCAGCATTCCATCACTTCTATTTCAGTGCAATAAACACAGTGTTTTTGGAGCAAATTTGGCCTAACACCTTTGACTTACAAATAACTTTCTGCTTGCTGAGAATCTTCTGTTACAGTGTCCCTACCCTTTGTCATTACATCTAAAGGGACACAGCTGATATCTTTACTGGCTGAATTCTGAGCACAACTTCTCCCCTAACCTTGAAGTATGTGGTAAAATGCAATGCCTGGAAAATGTTTCTCCTCTTGTCTGACACAGGTAAGTGGAAGCCTGATGAGCATCTATAGTGCAGACTTTGGCAACGTTGATGTGAAGGGGAACATCCAGTTTGCTATTGATTATGTGGAACAGCTGAAGGAGCTCCACATTTTCATTTGCCAGTGCAAAGACTTGGCAGTGGCAGACGTTAAGCATCAGCGTTCAGACCCGTGAGTACACAGAACATACTCATTTCCTTATGGAAGCTTTATCTTTAATGTATAACCTGTTGGAGTGTACAACCCAATGAAGAGACTGTAACATGCTCCACATGGTTTTTCACTCTGAAGGGGAAGCTCAAACTTTTAAGAATATGAAATTCTCTTTTAAGATTCAGCTTTCCAGATGATAAATCCTGGATTGATGTTTTCAATGGGATTAGAGCCAATAAATATGATAGCTGGGCATACTATAGTGAAATATTCTGTATTAGTATATGTTAAGGAGACATTTCAACACATTTCCCCCCATAGAAGGAGATTAATGTCCCACTTTGGAAACTGTTGTTATACTGTTCACTTCCTAAATGTAACAACTTGAACAACATAATGGCTATTAAGTTTAGTGGATTTATTTTACTGTATCAGCAAATATTTATGTCTTTTGGAAGGGGAAGTTGGAACGGGTGGGGGTTTTTGCCCTTCTAACAAGCCTGTCTAAATTCTAGGTATGTAAAGACCTACCTGCTTCCAGAGAAATACAAGCTGGGCAAACGGAAGACTTCTGTCAAAAAGAAAACTTTTAATCCAGTCTATAATGAAATACTGAGGGTATTTATCTATCTATTCCTACATATGAAATACTACATGCATGAAGGAGGGCCCTTAACTTTTAGGCACAGGCGTAGACGCTCTCAAAAGAGACATGAGGATGAGGTGGATTGCTCTGCAGAAGTACCTGTGTCCTTTCCTTGACAGGTGAATCCCACAGTGTGCTCTGGGTACAGCACTGAGGACACTGGTGGTTGTATGTTTGTCACAAATACAAATTTAGTATGAGCTTAAGATGCTTCCAGAGAAGGACCATGAAGATGCTGTGAGTGCTGGAGCACCTCTTTTATGGAGACAGGCTGAGAGTTAGGCTTGTTTAGCCTGGAGAAGAGAAGGCTCCTTAAAGGGAGACCTTAGAGGAGCTCCAGTGCCTAAAGGGGCTGACAAAAGCTGGAGAGGGTTTTTTATAAGACCATGTATTGACAGGACAAGGGGGAATGGCTTTAAACTGACAGAGGGGAGATTTAGGTTAGTTATAAGGAAGAAGCTCTTCCCTGTGAGGGTGCTGAGGCGCTGGCGCAGGGTGCCCAGAGAAGCTGTGGCTGCCCCATCCCTGGCAGTGTTCAAGGCCAGGTTGGACACAGGGGCTTGGAGCAACCTGCTCTAGCAGAAGGTGTCCCTGCCCATGGCAGGAGCTGGAACTGGATGAGCTTTAAGCTCCCTTCCAACACAAACCAGTCTGGGATTCTATGAAATGGAAAGTAAAACATCAAGAGGGTTTTGTTCTGAAATGAGCAGCTGTGGGTGTATAAATCCAGACACATTTTTTCCTAACCCTGTCACTCATTTCAGACACAGCACTGATAAAAATCCAGCTTTTAAATTTTTTTTCCTTATTTCTTCCTCTTGGCAGTATAAAATTGAGAAGGATCTCCTGAAGGACCAAAGCCTCAATATCTCTGTGTGGCACAATGATACCTTTGGGAGGAATAGCTTCCTTGGTGAAGTGGAGCTGGATTTAGGAACTTGGGACTGGGATGAGAAATCCAACAAGCAGATCAACTGGTTTCCACTCAAGCCAAGGGTAGGTCACTAAGTGCAAAACCCCAAGTCATTATTTACTTAGGTTTGGTCTTGTTTGTTCTGTGGTTTTGTGTTGGTTATAATCAGAAATGCCTCTTTTCTGGTAGATGGAACATCCAGTTCTGAGGTTTCTGTTAGTCTAGTAAGTAGCTAGCTATCATAGTAGGAAAATCTTTCTCATAGTGTAAGGAGTAGGAATTTCAAGGTGTTTTTCACTTTTATCATGTTGCTGCAGATATACCTGAAGGCACTTTGCCCCCACATGTGAAGTAAACCTCCTGAGAACATGGAGCAAGTGCAACAGCATTTTAGTATCAGATGTGAGGATGACTTCCATGTCTATGTGCCTCTTGGTTGTTAATGGGTTTCAGCCAAGATCTAAGCTTTCAGCTAAGCCACTGCCAGAGGTTCAGGTTTCTTCACTGTTGTTTTCTTTCTTTTTCTTCTCTTCCTTGAATTTACTTCATGAAATCATTTCAAAATCAGCTCAACCCAAAGTTGAATAATTTATAGACCAAACCAGCAATGTTGTGGTTAGCACTAGTTGAATTCAACTGATTTTAAAACCGCTCTAGGTAGATAAATGTTAACAGGGGTTGTTCCATCCCCACACAGCCCATGACGCTCTATGAAGAAGTGACACATTCTTGTGCCTTTTTGCAAACTAACTCTTGTTGTGGCTGATTTTCAGAGTGTATTAAATGAGGGAAAACATTCCTATAGGAATGAGTTTAGAGAAGTGCACTTTCTGTTGCATAAAGAGTAAGTTTCCTGATTGAAAAAGCATATGTTCTGGTTTTAAATAAGGGCACATCAGTGGAAAAGATGCATCCTCAAAGCCTTCTGGCCTCTCCTGCGTCTCGTTTTCTGCTTTGGTGGAAGAGTTGTATATCTGAGGCACTGCCAAGTGGTTGAACATGCCTTAGAATCTCTCATGTCCTGAAAATTGAGGAAAGACTAATGGGTAAGGAATAGGAGGAAAAACAACTTGTCTCATGTAGAAGTCAGGCTTGTTTGAGTGCCAAACTCTGCAGAGGAAACTCTTCGTGAAGTGCAAGGTTTGACATTTGTGGGCTTTTCTTCTTAAATTTCAGACGTCAGTGATGACTCTTAAACTAGAAAACAGAGGGGAGATGAAACTGGCCCTCCTGTATGTCCCACACCCTGCTGGAGGTACGCTTTGCTGCTTGCTTTGGGTTTGTTAAGCCTTTGGAGGTTTAGTTCTTTCTACTCAGACATTTCAGACACCTTGTTTTAACATAAAGTAGAATTACTTTTTTCTTCTAAAGTCACTCTGCTCATGAATTCAGTTTAGGATTCAATGACCACTTTAGGATCTTTTTGTTGGTTTTAATGTTACTACAGAAGAAATAACCTCATTGCTATAATCTTTGATTTGTAACACAGTCTGTATGTGTAACAAATTCTGTTATCTCACTAGTAATTTTAGAGATTATAAATCACCAGGCAGGTGCTGTGATTTGCTAAATAAACAATGACAACACACTGAATTCAAGCAATACTAGAAGCAGAAAATACCAGGAAGTATTTGGAATGCAGCATTTTATACCAGTAAGATCTGTTTGGTTTTATCTTGTCTGGCAACTGATAACTGACAGTGAGGTCAGGCTTTTAATCTATCCAGTCAGTCAATAAGAATGTATTTAGAGCACAAAAGAGCTTATTTGCAAGTACAAGCATCAATAAATGTTAACACCACATAGACTGAAGACAAGCTGATGTCCTTATCTAGGAGGCTTTGAAAGAGGAGACCGATAGCATGTATTTAGTTGTAAGAGAAGTAGGAATACAGACATGATGTGGTCTTGCTGTACTTTGATGGGATGAAGATTGCAGCTTCAGAGGTTGAATTAAGATGTGAGACAATGAGAGTCTAGGCCAAATATCCCCTCTACAAATGGGCAGGAACTGCTGCATCACGGAAATTACCTTTAAAAGGGATCTATAAGGCTTCATCAGATGTTTTAATTTTACAGGGAAGAAGACTCTTCCTACTGGTGAGGTCCACATCTGGGTGAAAGAATGCCATGACCTTCCTCTTCTGAGAGGCAACAGGCTCAACTCTTTTATTAAGTGGTAAGAACTGAGGTTAAAGTCCTAAAACGGGGTGGCCTAATACTGTCCTGCTTCCTACTCTTATCTTCATGTTTCTACATTCAAATTAAAAACCACCTAATTACTTTCTGATTCTCCTTGATTGTAATGCAAATCGGTCCTGCAGGACTTACAGCTTCAAGATGCTAAGTATGTGGCACCAAGTAGAACAGACTGGGAGAGCTTCCTGTGTCCTCGTTGCTCTTCCATTCTGCTGCTCAGTTACTTGGCGAAAGGGCTACTCACAATTGTGCCTGCTTTTATTTGCATTTAAGCAAGGTGTGTTTGTGCAGGAGCCTGGCTTAGCTTAGCAACTCTGGGGAGGAGACAAGTGGGACAAGTGGGAAGCGTTGTGGTATTTCTTCCTCCTTCCTTTCCACATGCAGTCTAAAAATGTGAAGAGACAAGAATAACAAGGTGGTTGGGAAATCTCTGGCAGCAACAAAAGGTTTTCGGTGTCATTAGAGATAAATAAAATCACATCTGCCTATTCCTCACCTGACCTCCCCTTCCCTTCCCTTCCATCTGCTGAAGCACAGGGGTGGATACGTGCTGCCAGTATTTCTTGGGACTGAGAATATGACCTTTGACTTCATCTCCATGATGCACCTTCAGCCATATCCCAACATGCAAAAGGGCAGTGTTAATCAGTAGGTTTTGTCTATGTTTAATATTTAAGTGCAAACTGATGATACTTTTTCTTCCTGAAGCACCATTCTGCCAGACACCAGCCGAAAAAGCCGCCAGAAAACAAGAACAGTGGCAAAAACTACAAACCCCATATTCAACCACACCATGGTCTATGATGGCTTTAGACCAGAAGATTTGAAAGAAGCCTGTGTAGAACTCACAGTCTGGGACCACAACAAACTGGCCAACCACTTTCTGGGAGGTCTAAGGATAGGCCTTGGAACAGGTATGGGACAATGAACACATTAAGCCTTAATCTACAGAATACAGGCTCTCCTTTTTTTCTCTCTTCCATTTCTTCTCTTTTGGCAAAGATCACCAAGCAGCCCTTCAGTTAGTTATTTATGGAAGAGTTTCATTCGGTAACTCCCCTACTCTTCAGCACAGATCCTGAAATGTAAATCTCAGCAGTGTTATGAGGGTTAGGATGACTGACAAGTAAGGAGAAATACTGGAAATAAACCTTTGCCTGGCCATACATTGTATCTGGTACTGTTTGAAGTACAATAACATGCTGTTCCTGCACCCAAAATATTGGTAACATCTTACAAACCTACGCAAAAAGTAGGTATGAGGTGTAAGGACTGTATTGGGTGGAGATAAAAGGATAGATCAGGAATGTGTGATAAGATCTGAAGATACTGGAGAGGAAAATTTAGAAATGCAAACAAGTTTTTAGCATGAGGGCAATATAAAATGTGCAGAGAGAAGAACTGTATGTTTTCGCTTTTGTTGTATTTCTCCCACTCATTGTCCTCTCCGGTCTGAGGGGGGGATGTATCTGGATCTTTTCAAGCAAAGACCAGAAAAAATTGTGTTTCCCAAATTACAGTGGTTCACCAGAATAACCTAAAAAACTAATAGTAAATCTCAATTTCAGTTTTGGAGTTTCCAACATGGTACAAAATCAGTCTCCTGTTTTATTCTTAAATCCTCTCAGATATTCAAAGAGTCCCAGACTGGTTTGGGTTGGGAGGGACCTTAAAGCTCATCCAGTTCCAAGCTCCTGCCACGGACAGGGACACCTTCCACTAGAGCAGGTTGCTCCAAGCTCCTACATCTTGTGACAAAAAGGCTAAGGATAACATGAAAGATGACCAAGTTTCTGTGTGAAACTCCTATTAATTGTGTTTGATAGAACTGTTCAAGTCTACAAATGTAGAACTGGTTCTTCAAAGTACTGGCTCAGCCACCTGAGGAGATGAAACAGTTTTAGAAGTCGGACAAATGTGTCTGCTCCCAGCTCTGCAGCATGTTAAGTAATGTTTCTCTTAACTGACATTTTTCTAGGCAGAAGCTATGGGACTACAGTAGACTGGATGGATTCTACTTCAGCAGAAACTGCCCTCTGGGAGAAGATGATGAACTCGCCAAACACTTGGATAGAAGACACGCTACCTCTCAGGATGTTAATGGTTGCAAAGTTGACAAAATAAGGTGGCTTTTTAATTGCTAGTATCAAAAAGAAACCTTGGGAATGAAATTAAAGGTGTAGGGGTGAAACTTGGAAGAGGAACACAGCAGGTCTTTGACAGTCTCTGCTCCGTTGCTGTTCTGGTTTTGTGCTGTCAAGTGTCACTTCATATTTCAAATTAAACATCTGCCTGAAGATTATTATGTAAATTTAAGGGATTCTTTCACTTCTTATTCACTAAAAAAGACTTAAAGAAAGAAGGCACTTAAAGAATACAGTTGGTAGAGGTAGCTGTGATACCTGGATGCTTGTGTTGCTGAAAGTGTTGCTGTTCCCTTAAATAATCCAAATTACCAGCAAAAACCCCCAGTCACCTCTTTCTTTACACCTCAGGATTGTTCATGAGGTGTTATTAATAAGACAACAAGTTGCATTTTGTTCGTGCTCATAGGCTGTGCTGTACCCTCATTACACCATGCCAGGTCCTTTAGTTGCAGTTGTACATTTCTAGGATATGAAAGTCACTTCTACGGCAAAAGCAGCATGAAGTGGGACTGTAGATGTCCTGTTTGGCAAAGTGCAGAGGACTCTTTAGTTCCAATGTACTATAAAAATCAAGGTTATAGAACTTTGCTTATATGTGGCCTGTCTTGCTAATGTACAATCCTCACTTTTAAATGCTGAAGGCACAGAGGTGAAACTTTTTTTTTAATTCAGATACTACCCTAAAGGATCTAAACCTGCCAATTTTAGTGATGACCAGGGTGTTGGGTATTTATTCTGTACAGAGTACTTGGCCGTACCCATTTATCTGTGCTTCAGCGCCACCGTTAGGAGAACGCTGGGGTTCCGGTGGCCCTGGTTTAGGGAGCTTTGCAGCACAGGGAATAGGACTGGGACTTGTAGAAATGCGTGCAACTAGAGAAAAATAAATGCATAAAATACAGAATGTATTACTTTTTTAATAAAAGAAGCCTATTAAAGCTAAGCAAGAATGAAGTGTTTATTAAACCCCAGTGGTTTATCTTAGTAACTCAGCATGTAACAAACTGCAGAAAGAACATGTTTCTCCAAATAAGTGCACGTTTATGTGCTCCAGCTGTGTCTACAAGTTGGTGAGATCTTGCAATTCAGTTAGAGGGGAAAAGAAGTTGAAATGCTACTTGGTATTCATTATACACTAGGAATGGAAGAAAGAGAAGGTGCAATTCACCCAGCCGGGGAACCCACTGCATTTCCCATCAGCCAGGTTTACAAATGCTACAAGTAGTCAGTCCTGACTATCTCACTGCTTCAGGTGTTTGAGATGAGACTGGTGGCTGTGACACTTAGACAGATAGAAACAAAACCTTATCCTCATGGGACTAAGGGAGCAGGGTGCATGCAACACTTCAGAGCAATGGATTTGCACTTCAGTGGTACAACAGCTACTTTGCTTCTGTATTTGGAAAGAGCCACTCCTGAAAGGGTGGTGGTTCTGGAAGAGCAGAGGCACCTAGTTCATTTTGCATTCACTGCCTACATGAATTCATTTTCACAAGAAAACGTAGGTTGCTGTCAACATGACCTACAATTTCACAGGATTAGTTTGTTGTTGTTGTTGTTGTGCTTCCTGTGAAGCTCAACTATTTTGCAGTGTTAAAATAGCTTTGGGACTTCAGCCGTACGGCCGGGTCCTGAGGTTCTATATTTGGATGGATGCTGGAGAGGGACTCTTCATCAGGGACTGCAGCGATAGGACAAGGGGTTCAAACTGAAACAGGGGAAGTTCAGGTTAGATCTAAGGCAGAAGCTCTTCCCTGTGAGGGTGCTGAGGCGCTGGCACAGGGTGCCCAGAGAAGCTGTGGCTGCCCCATCCCTGGCAGTGTTCAAGGCCAGGTTGGACACAGGGGCTTGGAGCAACCTGCTCTAGTGGAAGGTGTCCCTGCCCGTGGCAGGGGGTTGGGACTGGATGAGCTTTAAAGTCCCTTCAACCCAAACCAGTCTGGGTGATGATGATTTTCAGCAGAGCTCTAGCAGTTGTGTTTATCTTTTCACCATTTTACTCTTGTCATACACAAAAGTCACAGCTGTTCACCTGGTGAGGTGAAGGGAAGATTACAAACCAAACTGCTTTATCAGTGCAAAAGGTACTTTGCTGATGCTCTGCATGCTATAGCATGTAATTATAGAGTAGAAACATTACAATCTCACCTCCTGCTAAAGGATATTATCTTGATTTATTAAAAGGTGCTTGGAAGTAATGGCTGCATCTAATAATGTAACCCAG